TAACATTATTTTCTATTAACAAATCTAATCATCACAAAGTAATCTTGCGAATAATAATTTATTAAATTTTATACTTCATTCATACGGGCATGCATATGTTTTTTATTTGCAAAGAATTTTAGAGTTTGATCATAAAACAATTTCAATATTATAATGAAACTGCAAATATTAATAAATGCTAAACATAATCCTATTTTTGCCAATATTATCAAAGACACACAGGATTTGCACTATTAGATATATTAAATATTGGTTACAATTTACGTCTTAATAACAATAATTTTATTTCAAATTTATAAAAACTTGTTTTTTGTTATTTCATATCACACTGATTGATATTGAGCTTGGCCGAAGTGATATCGAACGAGGGACTAGTCCATAATCTTCTCGTTACGTCATGGCTGGCTCTTAACACAAAAATAATTCTAAGTAAACAAATTAAAACCATACAATTAATTCAAATTACACTATAGATATTTTTAATTTTTCATATTTTAACCCTTTCCACTCGCGAATTTTCGAAGATTTATATGAGTTTTGCCACTGGAGCGGCGGCATCCGAGTGGAAAGGGTTGAAAATATTATTTTGGAAAGAATTTATTTAAAAGGAAGTTTATAGAGAGGTCGTTTTTACAGTTATATGAAAAAAGTCATAAACAAACAAAATGACAAAATTCCAATGATATTACTTTACAAAATTCACAGGGTGTCCTAGAACTTAACGTCACAGTGTCCCAGAACTTAACGTCAAGCTGAAACAGATTGATAGTATAGACTTTAACGGCCCTGAAAAATTTCAGAAAAAGTCATATCACGTTGTTTGGAAATTATGAGCTTTTATGTGTAACCTAGAGCTTTGGTGAATTTATGACAATTTTTCGGTTATTGTGATTATTTTTTATTAATTCTTTATTTATTTTCGTTCATTTAAACTTTGGAACCGTAACCGTGAATAACATTTTTAGGACCACAGATAAAATAACTTAATTGCCCCAAGTTTTCAAGTTTTAGGATTGTTTGAAGTTAAATTTTTAAAAACGGTCGACTTTTAGCGTTCTTTTTTTAGAAAAAAAAGTACTAAAGTGTGTTGGCAAGTTTTATCAAAAGTTTGCGCATTTAATCAGGATTGTAAAAGGGTGAAATACTTGATAATTTTATTATTGACAAAATTGTAGTGAATAAAAAAAAAACTTGAACCTAAACATGTGGATGCCAAGTTTCTAAAACATTCATGTTCATGTTGATATAACACTCGATCTTTAAGAACTGATCTAAATTAAATTAGCATCAAATTCAACATCTAAAAATATGTATGTATTTAGGCATTGTATGTATAAAATTTTATATATGTATATATATATAAAAATTGTCCGTTCGTATGCATTTAGCGTCGTTGTATGTTTTCATAGTACGAACAAGCTCGTTTTGTATTTCGCACCCTTACACTTTGCGCGTACGTGGGGATGAAATAATTTTTTCGTCATGAGCCCCGAAACACAATAGATGTCCTCACCCTTCCGGACGCGTGAGCATGCTACGCGTTTAATTTCGTATTATTCTGATAATGAACGAAACAAAAAATTGTAAAATTAAATTCGGGATTATGCAAATGCCGTCCTTTGCAAATGGAAGGGTTGCGATGTTGAAAAACGAGTTATCGATCTTTCGTTGATTTATATACCCTCAGATATAGGTATATACTTAAACATTATAATTTATATATATATATATATATATATATATATATATAACCAGTTTGCTCTTTCAAAATTTTCGACTATAATTATTTCATTCAAACTATTCACAATTACATAATCATATGTCTCCTAAATAATATTTCCATTTAAAGCTATGGAAAAATTCATCAGCTCGTTGAAACTCATAATATTTAATTTTATATAAACGACTGTTAATTGGCACAATTTAAATTCATTAAACAGATGACGGTTAATTATCATTACCATTATTATAATCGACGATGAAAATAATAAAAAATTATATAATACAATATACTATAATAATTAATTGAATGCTATTATGTAAATTTTTGTCAATATATAATGAGTAACTCTACATAAAAGAAGATACAAATTATATAATATTTATTAAATATTTCAATAAACTGCGATTAGGTTTGCGCAAAAAAGCAAAAACAGATAAATAACGAGAAAAAATAATGTATATATATATATATATATATATATATATATATATATATGCTAGCTGGCCCAACTACGTGTTCCTTGGCGCAGTAATTATATTACATTAAATCATTTTTTTACTAATTCTTTGGTATATATTTTTTTTCAAATTAGAAGATAGAAATTAATTTCTAATTTTTCATTAATAGTTAAAAATTAAGTTCTAATTTGCAACAAATACTAAACCGCCATCTGTTAAAAATTATTGATTTATTTAATTTATTGTCTTTTGACACTTTAATTTTAATTACTTTTAGGTGCTGTCTTTTCACTCTTAATTTAAACTTATTCTTTATACCTATTTTTCATTTGTAGTTCACTAAGGATGATATGAAGTAATGTATCGAAACGATTAGCAGTTTATTAAGATTTTATAGACTTCTAAAGTTTTTTTGTTATATTGCTCTTACTAATTTTGCCATATGTGTATATACATATGTATTAACAAAATCTAATAGTCGCGAATAGCATTAATAAATAACATGAATTTCAATAAAAAAATATTCCAAAACACTTATGATTCGGCTATACTCTTAGCCTTTATTCAGTGGATGCTAAAATTAAAATGTTTAGTTTAATAAAAATTTTGAAATTTTCTTAATTGCTTCTGTGTAGTTACAGTAGTTTCATGAATTCTGGCCAGTTTCTCTAATATAAATTCATTTGCAACTTAGGCAGTTAATTCGCTAGACCAGATTTTGAATAAATTCGATATTAAGACGAGATTTTTATTTTAGTGAAAAAAAAATGTAAATTGAAACATTTTGGGAAAATGAACGTTAACTAAGTATATCTCTTAATAAATATATTTTAAAGCATCCACCGTTGGAAACATTGAATTTTGCTCTGTTTTTCGTCTATTTTCAGGTTCGTATATATATATAGATGCGTTTAATGTAGCCATTCTCTCGTACAAATAAACTATTCGAATTTAAACGAATTAACTAGAAAGCGAAATAAAAAAGGCACAACAGTACATTACGGGCGCACGTTGTAATTAAACATTAAATGAAAAGTCTAGAAAGATATACATCTAATTTGATGAAAAAAGATATAGTTACAGACTGACGGAGCCTGTGATTAAGCGCACGAAATTCAAAAACCGCGCCATTGACAACTGACGTCATAATTATATGTAATTAAACGTGAGCAATTCATTATTTCAATGAAACCATATAATGGAAAAAATTAAACGATTTCACATTAAAAAAATTACAATAATTATGCATACAATACCGTTGACTTGTTTGCTTGCGCTTGTCTGCTAAAGCTGCTAAATTTTATATCATTTGCATATAAAATTTATTGTTTTAATGGGAGCGCACTTCATTATGTAGAATAGTTAATTAATTGTTACACAGAAAATATAGAGCAAACTTTGCAATATTCAGACTTACATTTCTAGAAAAATTAAAACAACTTCACATAAAGCCCAGAACAAAATTGAAGTGCAAGCACATTTGTAACAAAAACCTAATTATAAGTCTAATCAACACTAAAGTCTTGACTTTAGTCATAACAACCGAAAAATGGTCACAGTTTAACCAAACCTCTGAATTTTATCATAATCTCGTGTTTTTCGAATTATATAAGATATTTTTTCTATTTTTTATGACGGTTATGTCAAAAACAGCATCAACAAAAGAAATGATACTTCTTCTCTTTATAAGAATTACAAAGACCACTCTTATATTTATATGTACCAAGAAATTTATCAACAAATAAGACCTGTAAAAATAAAAATAATAATCAACACTAATATTAAAACAAGCTGATAACAATAACTTCAGCAATATCATGGTTGTGATTATAATATGGAATTTTCCTATATTACTTTTATCCATTAAACTTGAACTCATTACTTCCGAATACTTAACATAAAATCACAATAATCTTTCCTATACTGCCACTCGTCACGTGCCAACCTTTCATAAAGTATTATAAGTAATTTTTTTGTCGAATATTTTTATATTCAAATACCCCGCCGCGCCTCGGCTGGGCTATTCACTTTGTCCCATGGACATGTGTTCTAGCATTTTGTTCGAATACGCCCTCAAAAGGGCTAAATTCTGAGAACAAAAGGTTTTTAAAGAAGGGTTCATAATTAGATGTTCGAAACGTATTTTTTTGCACAATTGCATAAGAGTTTACCATATGCCAACGCATGGCGGTTAGAACAAAAGGGTTGAGTAGTAAGCCAGAAAGTTCAGTAGGTGTTGACTTCTAGTTGAAATTTTAAACTGTGTATTAAATAAATTTGATACAAAATTTTATCGATTACAGTTGATTTTGATTTCGAACCTAATAGTAATCAGATTATCAGAACCTTACATCCTATGGGTTCTCCTGGCTGAAGCTTTCCCATAGGTTTTTCTGGATGGTAACTAAACAGTTGATCCATTGATTTTTGATTATTTGTAAAGAATGTCAATATTATTTATATTTGAATAATGAAACTAGAAATTAGCTCATACTAACACCGAAAGTAGTGTGATGGTCCAAAGGTGTCAGAAAAAATTCAAAGGTTTTTGATGCTATTACTAATTTCCTTTATAGATAGCAATATGTTTCCAAGTGAAAATAGCCCTTGTCGGGCATTGCTGCACCAATAAAAAGTCAGCCCTATTAGAATCTAATAACAAAAATCATCAAATATGGATGGATTAACCATTGGGTTACCATCTAAAAAAAATAGGAAGTAAGAAGTTTCCGCCAAGAGCTCATAGGACGTAAGGTTCTGATTGCTGTTAAAAAATAATATTAAAAAAAAATTACTAATTTCCTATTTCTTTTTTCCAGACGAATCGGGATGCGAGGCTGACATGGCAGACGGCCCTGAGGAGGGCGGAGGGGCCGACGTACCCCACGGGGACAGACATTACACCGGGCTGGCCAGAATAGAATCGTTTCACAGGCCTTTAGACACAACATTAGAATCTACCTTATCAGATCGTAGACTAGACGAAGAAATCAGTCGAAGAATCACCTCCAATATTGATCAAGGAGTTGATAGATTAACCAATTTCCAATCGAACGTTGACAGGCTATCTTCTGGCATAGATAGGTTGACCGCTGGAGTAGATAATTCTAACACAGATATTTTATCTCTGCAACCCATGGGAATAGCATCAGGTCTCGATTTGGCCCTCTCTGGATTCGGAGATAGGGAGAAAGCAATCGGTGTTGCTCCTGGTTTGGAGACAGGAGGAGAAAGGGATAGACAGATGGGTGTTTCAACGGAGATAGACAGGGAGAAAACAATGATGCGGGGCGAAGATGTTATTATGAAGCAAGAAAATGATCAATCCGCCACTTGCTTGGAGCAGCAGATGGTTCCCATCAACTTGAAGTCAGAGGTCAGTGATTTGATTGATTTTATATTTGACAAAAGAATAATACAAGAATCCGAATTAAATGTTAAAAAATATTTGCTCATAATTTATTAATGTGAGCGTGAATTGCATATCTAGCAGAAGTAGAAATGTTTTAGCACGTTAATATTTTTTTATAATTTATGCATAAGAGGTTTTTGTTAATTTTATGAAGCAAAAAATTGATATATTCGAATATTAATCAATTATAATAAATTTTACATAATTTTGTACGTACCTATAAATTGTTTATGCATTTATTCAAATATAATAAATTTTACAAAATTTCGATAGTACTTTTAAATTGTTTATGCATCAATAAATGTTATAATTTTATTTTTTATATAATAATGAAATTCTGGTAATTTTTTAAATATTTAGATTTCGAAACCTTTGAGATTTTTACAATTTTATGTACCATCAAAGCTATACAAAATATTTAAATTTTAATATTTTACTTTTCTCGATCACGACTACACAAATGCCCATGTTTTCATAAAATTTTGTGATATAAAATTCATAAATTTTTCTGTTTTGTGATGTTTTTAGATTCTGTAAAATTTTATTTAGAAGTTTCAATTTCGGAGTATTGACGAGGAAAACCTTAGGTTTACTTCTTTAAGATTTTGATTAAACTTCGCATGGTGAAAGTTAATAATAAAAATGGATAGTCGAACACTTTTGTCGTTCAGGTGACAAAATACTAATTTTTTACTCTTTTTTTAACTTTTATACAAACTATATTTGTTTTAACTATAACCATGCGAAGTTTCATCAGAATTATAGAATAGTATTCCTAAGGTTTTCCTCGAAAATAAGTTGCCAGTATAAAACAATCAGATTTGTTAAAAATATACGTTCAATATATTTTTTTATTTAATTATTTATTTGATAATTCTCACATACCGTATCTGTCAGTCAATTATTCTGGAATGTAGACATCACAGCAATCTTATAACAAAAATAAATACTTCATTATTCTATTAATATTTTAATACTAAGGTGTTTCCATTTTCGTTGTGGATCGATCAGGATATAGTTTGGCATGAAGTGTGTGCCATACCAAATTATTTCTCTTGTGAATGGGTTAATATTATCGTGATCTCTATATTTGACGTAAAAATTCTTTTTATAGAGCCATATACTGTCGGTACGTCAGTCTATTCGTGTATGTATTTTGTTGAATAGTAGTTGTTTAGTGCTAGTCTCAGTGCCTTGTTCTGTATAGTTTGTAGTCTCCGTAAGCTCGTCTCTGTTGTTGGCCATACAGGAATACTAGTCTAGTTGAAGGAATGTATATGTGCCGTTTAATTTATTAGTAAAATTTATGCAAATTTCCTTGTGAGAACGGGGTTGTAATTTGAATCCCGCTTTGGACAACCTGACATCGTGCAGTAGCGATGTCCAATTCTACTTGAAAATGTAGGTCAATATTATGTTTTCAATCGAAAATAGTCCATTTGGGGTGTGAAATGGCAGTGAGAAATCTCTCACACTATTGTTCTCTGAATCTAGTTGGAGTTAACTCAGTTCACGGCCCTCCTTGGAGTAGTACTGCTCATTATACCAATCCCAACTTTTTGGCAACTATTTATTGAGAGTGAGAACTAAACTTATAGAATAAGTATTTCAGCTAAGATCCAAAAATTTACGTTGGTACGGAACCTTACAAATCCATTAATTTCTGAAAATGATACCGTTCGATCCGTCAGCTTCATAAGCAAGCATTCGTTCGAACAACGACCAACGAGCAATGAGAGCACGTGTGCAATAACTCTTTGGCTATGATTAGGCCGTTGCGTTCGTTGATCATTAATAATGATTAGAGAGATCGGCCCCACGCAGACACCCTTTCGGTTTGACTGACGCGCCAACTCTAATGTGAATTTACAACTGACGAACGAGAATGTATTCATATATCTTCCACCGGCCCGGCACAGGCCAGGACACCCCGAACACCACACATCGCATTCGTATATGTAAAATATGTTGTTATATTTGCGTGTGCATATATTAGCGAACACTCTGATGCGATTATGTTGATACACGTCGGGATGGATGATGGCCTATACGTGTATTGCCCGTAAAATACAGGGATGGACAACCTAAAGTAATAATAGGGGTCCACCATCTATTGAATTGAAATTATTCCATCATCAACCAGAAGAATTGTACTTTCAAATGAAAAAAAAATTGAGAAAATATTCAGTAGTTTTTTATATCATTCTCAACGTGAAGTTATTTGGTGGATCCTATATTTTATTTTAAAAATGACACTTTACATTATTAACTAATATTAAAATCCAAACGGTAGTTATAGGTTTGAAATTAAGGCTTATACAAAAACCGACATTTCAGAAAACCGGTTTTCGAATTTTAATTTTACTAAAAAACCGGGTTTAACCGGTTTTCGAATTTTATATAGAAAATAAATTTTTGCTCGAATATTCTGTAATTTATCCGCAAATTTAATGTAATTTAGAGCAGTCTTTGACTGAATTTAGTTATTGTTCAATTTTATAGATAGTATACAAAATTATTTTAATTTTAATTAGTATAAATAAAAAATAATAGTTTATCTTGATTAAATAACTTTGAAAATAATTATTCGTTATTCATGTATCATTTTCACATACAAGAATGAAAATATTTTTATGATAGTGAAAGGAACGTTTTCGAATAAATAAGAATAATACATTTCTAAATAAAAAAAATAAAAAACCATTAAAAATATAAATAAAGAAAGAAATATTAAATACATTTTGATACATACTTTTTAATATAAATTTTAGTTTTAAAAACAATTAAGCTAAACTCGGGTATTGTCTGTTTCGAGCAATTAATTAATTTTAATTGTTTTTTTGTTTAATATAAAATGGTTTCAAAAAGCTGAGAACGTCTATCGAATTGCTTCTTAGACGTATCCTTCGTTTACTCACAAAATTTCCTGAAATAGAAAATACTCTCAAACTTGCGACCAAATTATGCTTAATTGTTTTTAAAGTCTGATATAATAATTCTAAGTTTTTAAAACTCTATTTTTTAAACTTCTATTTTTTCACACTGATTTAAATTAATATATACACTGGTATAAAAATCTAAATTAATATATATACAAAACCTTTCTGGGTACCATTGCAGACTGATAAGATATCAAATGCTATTGAACCGATATGATTTCAAGAATCAAAACGCTTTCATCTATCTTTTATATTTGGCTAAATTTCTCATTTACCATTTATACCGTGAAAACCAACTTTTTCACTAAAAACCCGGTTTTCGAATTTTATAGTTTTCGCCAAAAAAACGGTTTTTAAAACCGGTTTTTGAAAACCGTTAAACCCTATTTGAAATATACTTTTTTGAAAATTGATATTTTCCTGAATAATTCAATAATTCAATAAATTACAGCACAGGTACAAAAGACATTCTAAATTATAAATACTTTTTATTGGATTTAAGAGATTATATAAAGATATGATGAAAAATATAAATTATTTTTATTAAGTTGAAGAGTTATTAAAAAAATGGATAAAAAATCAAACAAAAACCGAAACTAAAATTTAGTTTCTTATCAAAAATAGTTCACGCTTTTTAAAAACCTAACATTTCATGAAGAAGATATCTGACACTACTAAAACCGATGTCGTACATAGCTATTTGATATGAACTGGCATGTTTGTTTATATAAGCATACTGTAAAAAATAAAATAGACTAAAATAAAACCTATATTACACACTTTTACAACTATTTCTAGCTATTGGTCTTTTATAAAATATGGGCTGTTGAACAAAAACCATCTTATAGGAGTACCGTGTTCTTAAGCATAAATTATTCGAATATGCGTATTTTTAAAATAATTGATCAAATCAATATTTCAAATTGACTAATAAAATAATTTAATAAAATTCTCAAGACAAACTGCAATTATAGTAAAATTACTTTTAATTTTTGCAATTTTCGAATGAATTTATAATTAGTACACTTTATATTATTAATGCAATTAACTGAAATATTCACATTAATGAAAAATATGAATACAGAAAATATTAAAATCCGTATCTCGAACTGGTTAAAAATATTCATAAGATTTTCTAATTATGATAAATAATAACATTGCAATGTGTATGCACAATAGTGAGCATATGTTCTGTTAATTGAGAATATTTTTCTGTATATTACCGATGTTAAATGTATAACAAGCACGCGCTGAGCTCATATTAAAAATAAATTACTCTTAATTAATACTAATTAAAGCTAATTAACCAAGATAACCATTATGATAAATAATACACATCTAGGCTGGTTGCGTATAGACATGTGTCTAACAAAGAAACACTACATCAATATCGTACTGCAATTATTTTTTATTAGAATGTTACGCGTAAACGATCTCCTCCTCGATATATAATATACACATGTATATATGTATATATATACATATACATATACATATACATAAATATATATATATATATATATATATATATATATATATATATATATATTAGATATACAATTATATTTTAGTATAAAAAAAATATTTTTTTTGACAAATGTTTTCGAAGGTACGTTGCCTCCTTCATGAGTAACTCCGTGGTTTATTAATAATCAAATTTTTTTGTTTATGAATTTTCAATAATTTATAAATTTTTATGTATCTATGTATATATGTGTATATGAATTGAGTATGTATGTGTTAATAAATTATCCAAAAATTACAGTACTGAACGCTTCACAACACTAGTAGTGAAGTCATAATAAGCGTTTGTTAAAAATTTCAACTAATTAATTTGGCCATGAATTAATTTGCACCAATTTGTAATGAATATGATCTGATCATCAGAGTTTCCATTAAAGTTAATGATGGTGATGTCATTATATGTGAATTTGACTTGTTGAAAATAATATGCACTGGAAGATAATTTTAAGAAGTACTGTTTCTAAATTTCATTCAACTTAAATTTGCTGGATTTGAATTAAA